TTTGTATTTTCTACCCATTTGTCTTTTTTTTCATTCTAAGCAATTCAACTGCATTTTAAAATTCACTAATTTCCTCCAGTCTGTTGTTAAGCTCAAAAGAATTTTTGCAACCATTTTTCATTTCTTTGATTTTTTTAGAGGAGGCATAATTGGGGTCTGAATTCAAGGCTTAGGGCTTGCTAGGCAGGTATGCTACCACTGGAGCCACAACTTCAGCCCGTGTGTGTATGTGTGTGTGTGTGTGTGTGTGTGCGCGCGCGCGTGCGTGCGTGCGTGCCAGTCTCCTGGGGCTTGAACTCAGGGCTTGGACACTGCCCCTGAGCTTTCTGTTCTCAAGGCAAGTGCTCAAACTTGAGCCACAGCACCATTTCAGACTTTTTAGCAGTTAATTGGAGACAAGAGTCTTATGGACAGCCCTGCTTGGGCTGGCTTTGAAACATAATCCTCAGATCTCAGCTTCTTAAGTAGCTACGATTACACTCATGAGTCACCAGCACCTAACTCTTCAACCCATTTTTGCTCTGGTTAATTTTTTGGCTAGTCCTGGAGCTTGAACTCAGGGCCTGATCACTGTCCTGCGCTTCTTTTTGCTCAAGGCTAGCTCTCTACCACTTGAGCCACAGAGATACTTCAGGCTTTTTCTGTGTATGTGGTACTGAGGAATCAAACCCAGGGCTTCATGGCATGCTAGGCAAGCACTCTACCATTAAGCCACATTCCTAGCCCTGCTCTGGTTATTTTTGAGATTAAGTCTCATTTTTTGCTCAAACTGGCCTGAACCATGATCCTATTTATGTTTCCTGCCACAGCCAGAATGACAAGCATGTAGCACCAAGCCAAGCTTTCTCTGATAAGATGGGGTCTCTCTAACTTTTATTTTCTTTTTGCCTATGCTAAATTACTTCTGATCTCAGCCTTTTATGCAGCTTAGATGACAGGCATATACCATATACCTGAATACTAGTTTTATATGTTTTCAATACTAGTTTTAATAACCTAATAACTAGTTTTCAATAACTTCTTGTTTTCAATACTAGGTTTCAATAACCTCTTGCTCAGACTGTTTTCCAATCAACCCTCCTAATCTCCACCTTCTGAACAGACAGGATTATCAGTGTCTGGTTCAATGTTCACTTGGCTCAACTGTTCAATTTAAGTTTATTTTTCATCATGTCTAATCCTTCATAGTGTGTATTTGCATTCTTATTTTTGGGACTAATTTTTTTAGAAATTTTATGTAATTATTATATGCTACAATCTATATTTTCTAAAAGAAAAATCCACTCTTTGAAGTGCACGTGGTATTTCTCATGGTTTGTTGGTCAGAGACTAAACTCCTATTGAGTTGCTGTGAGCTGGCATGCCCCTCCACCCATCCCCCACCACAAGGACTTGAATCTGCTATTGCCAAGAACCAGAGTGCTCCATTTGTTTGTTTGTGTGTCCCATTTATTTTCTGCCCTGGTAGTTTTCCTGCCTCCTGAGTTGGGCAATTCTGTAAAAGTATGGATTTTGTCCAGGAACTAGTGGTTTTGTAGCTGGATGTCCCTCAGGAAAGCCTTAATTTCTGATTGGGGAAAAGTTTTCACTGTTGCCTCAGATTACCTCTTTAAGAGTACGCTCTGCCTGTGACAGGGGTTACAGAAATAAGCCAGATTCCTGTTCCAATAATGACATCAGCACGCAGCAAACAGAGGCTGGCTCTTCACCTTACCAAAGAGCTGTGGGGTATGGTGGGGTGTTGGCCAGTGCACTGAAGTCTCCATTTGTCACTGTTCATTTCTGAATAGAGAGAACAACCACCAAAGCATTTTTTTGAGTATTTATGGATGACCAAACTGAGCCAAACAGATCAAATGACCAATACAGACATATGGAATTACTACAGAAATTTGTCAGGGAGAAATAAAATTTCAATGAACAAAATCCACTTTGTATACTTTCAATTAGATGTATTTCTCTTAAGAAAAATGTTATAATCTGTGTGTGTGTGTGTATATGTGTGTGCGCGCGCTTGTGTGTGTGCACATGCGTGCCAATAGTGGGTCTTGGGTTTAGGCCCTGGATGCCATCCGCTACACTTCTAATTTTTTAGTGGTGAATTGGAGGTAACAGTCTCATGAACTTTCCTGCTTAGGTTAGCTTTGGACCACAATCCTCAGATCTCGTTCTCCTGAGTTGCTAGGATTACCAGTGACAGCCACTGGTACCTGTCTTCAAGGGTTTAAAAAACCCAAAACATTAATTAGCATACTTCCTTGGCTCACTTTTCCAGTAATTAATTTTAACTACTGCATTCCCAGATCCCAACCTCCCCTTTTCTCTGCTGCTCTTATAACTCTCCAACCTCTCCCAGAAGCTAGTCTTTGATCCCATGGCCTGGGGTGTTTCATCCATAATCTCATCTCACCACAACTGGCTTCTGCCCCCCCCCCCCATTTCTTTTCTGGCCTGTCACTGGCCCACATGGCTACTTTTCCGAAGTGGTGGGTTCTAGCACATATGACACATTCACACTAGCTACTCCAACACCGAATGCACCAGGAATCAGGACTCACTGAGGACAGGCGCCAATCAGAGGCCGATCTAGTACTCCTCCTGGAGCAAACCAACACATTTAGGATCCCATGCCAAAAATAGATCTTGGAATTTCACAGGTTAAGTGCTTTATTTTTGCAGCTTCTTAGACAAACTCTACAAGGTAAAAACAAAATGCATACACTCTGTCAATGGCATAGATTTAACATGTGAACCTTGGGAGTTCCAGAACACATGGTTGAGGCACTTCTGTACCAGAGGCACATAGATTTTACTGAGCTCAGGGACTAACTTACTCTCTTTGGGATGCTGTGGCCAGCTGCTTGGCAAGATTTGGACACAAGGTCAGGGCCAAGCACATGGCGCAAAGCTGACTGTTCTGTCCAGATGGCAGGTGACAGGTCCTCTGCCCGACCTCTTACCTCCTGCCACTCACTTGGAATCTTTTCTCCTGATCTACACCTTCAGCAGAAGGCAGGTAGGGTCAGGAACAGCTTAGATTAGGCCCTGGGTCAGTGTCTTTGGTATAAGCAACCATCCCCAACCCCCTCTGGGGAAAAAGGAAGAACTGAAAAAGGAAGTAGTCCACACTTACTGGGGAGGAACTGGGGATTTCCACTGCTTGTATTCTTCCTGCTTCCCATTAGCAGGGATTCCACAGGCCTGCGCAATGCCAAGCATGTGCTAACCTCTGGCTTGCTCAGCCCCTGTGCAGGGAGCTTCTCTGTGGGCAGTGTTGGTGTTCTATCAGGTCCAATTGATGGCACAAGTTCTGTCTCCCAGCCTAGAACAGCAGCTAGAAGCACCTGCTGCCGGAAGCAGCCTGTCCACTCACCCCCGCCCCCACGCCGACCAGCCCTGAACCTCACCAGAGGAACAGGCTCCTGCCCTGGGTGGTCCTGTGTGTCCTTCTCACTGAAGGATGCTAACATGAACTGGGCAGCAGGGACACCCCATCTTATACACTCCAGTTAGCCCTCCCCAGCCCTACTTTGAAAAGATGCTTCCGGGCACAGGAGGACCTTTTTGTTGAATGGGTTTTTGGTGGCTGATCGTTGGCTCAGTCAAGATTTGGGAAATTTGGAGACTAGCTGTTTCTCTCCAGGGGAAGAAAACCTGTTTGAGTCTGAATCAGTGGCAGATGGAGGGCAGAGGACCGGTGAATAGATACTGGAAGAGCCTGGCTGTAGTCTGGGATACTGGTGTTTAGTCCTTTCCAGATGCTTTAAACGTATAATGTGGTAGTTTCTCCTTTCTCCACTAGGAGTACATTCCAAGACCCTAGTGATGCCTGAACCTGATGGTAGGCGATCCTATACATAAAACTTCATGATGAGGTCTAACCAATAACTTAGGCGCAGGAAGAGGAAAAACAACAGAACACAATCAAACCATTATGGCAATATACAATAATAATGTTTGTGAATGTAGTCCCTCCCTCAAGAATCAACATGAATGCTAATATTTTCAGACCGCAGTTGACTGTGGGTAACTGAAGCCAAGGGAGGTGAGATGTGGATGGGTGACTGCTAAACCTCACAAGGTGGAACTTGGAGCTAGTATGGTTTTCTGAGTGCTCTGACAAGAGGCAGCAAAGGACATTTGAAGGGGGGGGTCCCTATTATTTTCCCATAGGCCCAGATGAATGATAGCAGCACCTCGGCCAGTGGGGCAGGTCCAAGAGGGTCTAGCAATAGTATCACTCAACCTGACATCCCCCTTTGCCCTGGGACCTGTCAGGGGTCTCCTGCAGGCCTTCTGGGGAGATGGCTAAATTAATGGTGGAAAAGGCGAGAAGGCACAGCGGTTTAAAGAACGGTCACTGCCAACTTAATGGAGAGAAAGCAATTACGCTTGTTCTGAGATGGGGTTCATTAGTGGCTGCAGTGCAGAGGTGTCTTCACACTGACTTCACACCCTTGCAAAAGGGTCAATTTACAGGCTCTGTGGTAACTCCACACTTTCGGGGTGGGGCGACTAACAAAAAAACCCACCTCTGCAGCTGAATGAGGATCAAGTGGAGCTGCTTCAGTCCCCTGCCCACCCTATAGGACAGAGAATTGAATATTCATGGCTCTAGTACAAGCTCTAGCCTCCATCCCTGCCCTGGGTTCCAGTCTGAGCAGCTCACTTCTGCTGCCAAAGGCTAAAGGGAGAAACAGACTTGCACCCCTTGCACCCCAGCCTCTCTGAGCTCTCAGGTATAGCCAGAGAGGTGGACGTTCCAACCACTTTATTTTATTTATTTATTTTTTTTTTTGGGTCCGGTCGTGGGGCCTGAACTCTGGGCCTGGGTGTTGTCCCTCAGCTCTTCAGCTCAAGGCTAGCGCTCTACCACTTGAGCCACAGCCCCACTTCTGGATTTTTTCTTTTTTGCTTATGTGGTGCTGAGGAATCGAACCCAGGGCCTCAGGCATGCAAGGCAAGCATTCTACCACGGAGCTACCTTCCCAGCCCGTTCCAACCACTTTAGAGTGCCAGCTCTGTACTTTCTTTGGGGTGTAGCTAATGGGTACAAGAGAAGAAGAATACAGGATGGAAGCCTCCAAAGGACAAGCTTCTAGACAAAGTCTGTGTAAATTTTAGGAGTGCATGGTCTGCTCCTTTAACATCTGGCACTGGCTTCTAAGTCTACAGGTTGACATCTCAGGGCCCTAACTTTTTAGATAAGGAAGTATAATCGCAAATCCTGTTTTATGTATAGGTATGAAATGTATGTACATGTATGTCACACGTATGAGTGTGTCATTCTGAATACTGCATAATGTCCATTCCAGGCATTCCAACCTTACATTACCATTATTCTGCTCTGGATCACTCAGGAGTCCACTGATCATCCGGGCTTGGTATCTGGTACAGGCTCAGACACCTCACACATGGCTTGTTTTCTCTAGCAACATGGGGTCTGTCGGCAGCGTGAACTTGACAGCGCCATCCTTCTCCCAGCCCCTCCGGATCTTGGCGAGTCTGCGGCTGAAGCAGGGCAGGAGGAACAGGCCCTTGGCCAGAATGACGACACAGGGCACCAGCAGCGTGAGTGTGAAGGTAGGTGGCAGATAGAACTTGTAGCGGCTCTCCTCGAAGGCACGGGTCCAGCCGTAGGTGAGTGTGTGCAGTGTGCTCAGCACCAGGGCCATGAAGCCCAGTGTGGACTGCGGAAGGAAAGAGGGCTAGAGTGAGGGCCGGCCATGACCATGCTTTGGCTCCCTCACAGGGAGTCAGGAGTGTGGCTTTGGAACGCTTGGCTGTGGGTTCGAATCCCAGTGTTATATGCAAGAGTATCCCAAGCAGGGGCTGGGAAGGTGGCTCAGTGGTAGAGTGCTTGCCTTGTATGCCTGAGGCCCTGGGTTCGATTCCTCAGCACCACATAAGCAAAAAGAAAAAAAAAAGCTGGAAGTGGCACTGTGATTCAAGTGGTAGAGCGCTAGCCTTGAGCTGGAGAGCTGAGGGACAGCGCCCAGGCCCAGAGTTCAGGCCCTACGACCGGACCCCCCCCCAAAAAAAAAGAGTATCCCAAGCAGAAATGGGAGTAACTCTTCTATACAGAAGGTGTACAAAGTAATTCAGGATGAAGCTTCTCCCTCCATTTGTATCTCTTGGGGCTGCCAAAGAGTTTAGAATTGCTCTCTAAGGACTTTAAAAACATTCTATCAATTTTGTGCATAGTTTAATGTACATTACAGTGACAAGCATCTGCCTGCATCCCCAAATCAGAATTTCACAGTAGATGGCCTACGATAAGACTGGATATATATTCAGAAGACTGAGATCTGCAGCTCAAGCTTCAAAGTGTGCCCAGGCAGGCTGAGATTCTTATCTCCAATTAACCAGCAAAAAGCCAGAAGTCAAAGTGTAGCTCAAGTGGTAGAGCACTATCTTTGAGCAAGAAAGCTAAGAGACAAAGCCAGATGTTGGTAGCTCAGGCCTGTAATCCTAGCTCCTCAGAGGCTGAGATCTGAGGATCCTGGTTTGAAGTCAACCCAGGCAGGAAAGTCCATATGACTCTTAACGCCAATTAACTACCAAAAAGCCAGAAGTGGAGCTGTGACTCAAGTGGTACAGCACAACTTTGAGCGAAAAAGATTGGGGCGGTGCCTAGGCCAACTTCAAGCTTCAATATTGGCAAAAAAAGAGGATTAGCTGTATTGATTTTAAACACAAAGTAAATAATTTACAGGCAGCAATAGTAAAAGTGGCACCAGAGGCTCCAGTCTGGGTGAGCTGGCACTGGGCAGAAAGCACACATGCAGATGCTCTGAGGGTAGAGGTCCCCCTCCTCCTGCCCTGCATCAAGCTAGGAGCACCCCAGGCAGAAATGTGTAAGGCCAGCTTCCTGCCAGAAGGGGAAGAGTGACTGAGCGGGCAGTGGGCCCATCAGAGCTCCCAAGAGAAATTTTTTATCATTGCTCTGAATACAACTTTGTGTAGGAGCTGGGTGTGAGAACACCCAACATACACTTTTCCTGATAACTACAAATGATCTCATAGGAAGATGTAGATTCTCTGGAAGGGATGCTGGTTTGGGCTAGCTCTGATCCACTTAGCTTTAATGAGAAGCAGGGGATTCTAAAAGCCAACTTGAGTAAGCTCAGGCAGTGGTAAGGGCACTGTGCATTGGGCTGGGTGGAGAGGGAGGAGAGGCTGCGACAGTTGTGGCTAAATTCTTTTTCTTTTTGCCGGTCTTGGGGCCTGGGCACTGTCCCTGAGCCATAGCAGCACTTCCAGCTTTTTCTGTTTATGTGGCACTAAGGAATCAAACCCAGGGCTTCATGCATGATAGGCAAGCACTCTACTAACTAAGCCACATTCCCAGCCAGTTGTGGCTAAATTCTGTGACCACTAAATATAGATCACAGGCTGGAAAGTTCTATGTTTATCATACAGGAATGAAAATAACAGTGAGTGACCGCCAAATCACTGTGCATTTTCTCCAAGGAAAGACTGCAAGGATTTAATTTATATGGGGTGGGATGGAATGTTTTCTTACCTATCAGTCATGAGCTTTCCCAAAGAGCTTCAGTGGGGATTTCTAGATTTCCTTCTAACCCTGCCTTGTCAGCATCAATCCAGCATCCCAGTGGGGAGATACAGTCTTGTCTGCACTCCTGTCACACACTCAAGTGGGGCTGGAGGAGTGGGGACATAGATCAGTGGGGGAACACTTGCCTAGCATGTACAAGGCCCTGTGTTCCATCTACTACTGGAAAATAAATACAAATGAATGACTGATTGAATAAATGAAATAGACCCTTCACTGGGCCTTCTTTTAAGTACTCCCTGGGGACAGAGATGGCATACTTGTACCCATTTATAAATAATACCAGGAGAGTGAGGTCCAATGAGTAAAAGAATATTGCCCAGAATAATTGCTTACAATGCTTTGGCATTTCCCACTTACGATGCACAGTATCATTTTGTGAACAACTTCCTAAGTTCCTTTTACCCAAATGAAACAAAATGCCCAGTTCTTATTCTTCTTTGCCCTCTCTGGGTTTTTTTTTTTTTTTTTGGCTTTGTGTCTATTCAAGGATCTGATCTCAGATTAATGATGTCTGGACTCGGTGAGAGCAGTTGAGATGTAATGCTTGGCTTTGTTCTCTGGTCTACAATTAATTCATATGTTATTCAATGCCATCAACTCCTCCATCAAATGGATACTTCCTTCACTGTCACTGAAAACCAAATCCTTGTCACTTCTAGAAGTATCTATCAAGAACTACAAATCTGAAACTTCTGGTTTACACTAACTTTTTTTTTTCTACAATTCTGATCTCTCACCATAGAAAACTGGGGTTAAACAAGTCTACAGCACTGACCAGGAGACTAAATGTTCAATGACCTGGCAATCACCCTGCTATTCTCCAATCAGGTGCCCAGTCCCAGCAGGTGGCTCTCCCTCCCTCCTATTCATGGAGTGACAGGAATTGTCAAGAAGGCTAGGAAGTGTCATTTGTCCAAGATCACTGGCCAATCTATTTGCAGGCCCGAAATATTTGCAGGCAGCTCCCCAGGGGAGCTGGGGAAATGTTGGTGCTCTAAGCTCCACTTCGGAAATGCAGATTAAACTGGTTTGAGGTGGGCCTCAGGCATCTGTTGTTTTTCAAAGTTCAGCAGATGATGCTAATGCACAGCCAGGACTACGCCACTAATTTTGGAAGTTCTCAACACCCACGTCCTTCCAGCTTGAGGTTGAAAGTGCATCCTGGCCTGGTGCCCAGGTTGTTTGACAAGGCCCTGAACACAACTGTCCTTTGACAAAGATCCACTGAAGCCATTCAGAGCCCACCTGCTATGTTGTGGGTTTTCCCAGATAAGGAAATAAGGAGAACCTAAGAAGGTCTAGAAGCGTGGTCCCACAGAAACTCAGCATCTCCAGAGGTAGTATGCTTTATAGTTCCAGTGCTTGCCACGAGTGGGCCACTAGTCCTGTCTGAGAGTGAAGGATGGGCCCTGTACTGGGGCAGAGATGCTGTCCTGTGGTGTTGCCTGGAGCCCAGGGGGTGGCAGCTGGTGGCCCTAGTTTATGTAGTCTCAGTCCTGGGCCTTCCAAATGCCTTAGTGTAGATGGCCAGCAGGAAGTCCTAGCCTCAGGCTAATGGTTCTTAGAAAGGGATGACAGCCAAAGGCTAGCCAATAACAAGAGACCTTTAGATTTTGCAATTGAGCTGGGCAGCCTGGATGAGTCCAGCCAGTTTGTTTCCCTGGAACTCTCTTTCCCTCTCTTTGGGAACAACTTAAGAATTTCAGAGGCTACAGAAAACAAGAAGAAGGGCAGGGATTGTCACAGGAGCAATTAATAACCCTCCCTCACACCCAAAGTTAGGACCATTTTTATTATACAGTGGCTTGTTAGCAAAAAAGTCACAGCCAGGTTGTATGTGGCTGTTGCTGGTACTCAATAACTATGGCTTTGGCAATCGCTCACCAGGCTGAGGTCAGTCTGGTCTCTGTCATTATTCCGACCAAGGGGCTGCCGAGAACAAAGTCAGAGGAAGCTTTTTTAATTATTTTTGGTCATGGGGCTTGAACTCTAGGCCTGAGCGCTGTCCCTCAGCTCTTCAGCTCAAGGTGAGCTCTCTATGGCTTGAGGCACAGCACCACTTCTGGTTTTCTAGTGGTTTACTGGAGATAAGAGTCTTTCCTGCCTGGGCTGGCTTTGAACCGTGATCCTCAGATCTCAGCCTCCTGAGTAGCTAGGGTTACAGGTGTGAACAATCAGCGCTGGGCTAGAAGAAGCTCTTTTTTTTTTTCTTTTTGAAAAAGCCCTAGTTTTTCTGTGCAAGTGAGCTTTGTCATCTGGGAACTTTGCAATTTAATGTTCTACTGGCTGAATTGGGAGAGAATGAAAGAAAGGGGAACTGTTAGATAGACAGGCATGAAAAGTAGTGGACATAATATGTGGCAGATAACATGTGGCCTGTCACGGAGCTTCTTGTTCCCATAGGCTCCTGCTCAAATGCTTCCTCTTCCTACAATGCATTATGTTTCCTACAATACACACTTCTTCTTCCCATAATGCCCTAGTGCCTGCTCATGCCTGGAAAGAGCCAAGGTGGCACACACACAGGCCATCCAGCAATGAGCACAAAGCCCAGGAGAGGAGATATGTGAGGAGCCCCATACTGTCATAACCACCATTCATTGGGTTCTTCTTTGAGGTCCCTTCTCTGAATGGAGGGCCTTGCTACTTTCCTTTCATAGCTTTCTTTTCACTTTCAAATAAACTTACTCTGTTTAACTTAAACACTTTCTTGCCTCTCAGCTCTTTAATAAGAGAAAAAACAATTCCATATTCCTGGATGGCATCAGGAGCATTTAGCATAGAAATTGAACAAAAATACCCGAAGAAACACAAACCAAAATTTCAAACTTTGAAAAGCTCCTCAAAAGCCAAAGGCTTGATATAAGCAGGGTCATCTCTGAGGAATCAAGACAGTGGTCCGATGGCTCCCCACTGAATTAAACATGCAGACTCCATCAGCCCAGGAGCCATCTCCGTTTTCTAAGCTTGGGCTATGTGATTGTGGGTGGCAAGGGAGGACACAGTTTCCTTCAAAACTCTCCTTGGCACTCAGGGGTGCGCAAGGCTGGCACAGCACACATCCTTGAGGTGACAGTGAGTGGATGCAGGGGCAGGTAGGAACAGAAGCTTCTGGAGGCTGACCTGATTTCCTATGGCAGGGCTGGTGAAGGGTCTGGGCCTGGTGAAGGGTCTGCCAGCTCCTCGTATGTTCTCCCACCACAGGAGGGCATCAGCAGTGCAGCAGTGCACCTACCTGACTTCTAGAACCATCTGAGTTCATAGGTAGAGTATATTGGTACCAAATCTTTGGCTGTAATTTTTTTTTTCTTGGTGCAGGTTCTGGGGCTTGAACTCAGGGCAGGGGCACTTCCCTGAGCTTTTTTGCTTAAGGCAAAAAAATTCTGGCTTTTTGGTGATTAATTGGAGATAAGAGTCTTACAGACTTTCCTGCCCATGCTGGGTTCCAACCATAATTCTCAGATCTCAGCCTTCTGAGTAGCTAGGAGTACAGGCATGAGCCACCAGCACCTGGCCTTTAAACCTTTTTGGATGTCAGTGCACAGTTAGAAATGCGTGTTACATGATACATTGCAAATGTCCGGTGGATAACAGGCAAGCCACACTGACACATATGTGTCAGATCAATATAAGAGAACGCATATCTACCCTTATACCATCTAAGGTACTCTGGTGGTTTCTTTGCTATCCTATTTTTAAATATGTTAGGTACAACCCACCATGAGAATGCATGCTGTAGTTTATAAACTCTGACCTGAACCACTCTGATGCTTAGGGTTAGAGTCTCTTGGCTTCTTTCTACCTTCTACTCATTTCAGACATGGATGGTGGGAGCCAGGTTCAGTGACTCGCATCTATACTCCTAGTTACTCAGGAAGCTGAAGAAAGAGAATCACTTGGACCTAGGAGTTTGAAACCAACCTAGATAATATAAGATCCCTACCTCAAAAAAACAAAGGAAGCCAGGCGCCGGTGGCTTACGCCTGTAATCCTAGCTTCTAAGGATCATGGTTCAAAGCCAGTCCAGGCAAGAAAGTCTGTGAGACTCTTATCTCCAATAAACCACTCAGAAAACCGGAAGTGGCGCAGTGCTTCAAGTAGTAGAGCACTAGCCTTGAGCTGAAGAGCTGAGGGACAGCGCCCAGGCCCAGAGTTCAGGCCCTATGACTGACCAAAAAACAAAAACAAAAAGAAAGGAAACAAAACAATAACAGAACAAAACAAAATATGTGGTTAGATAAAAAAGTATGACTGGTAGCATAGCCAGCTACTCCAAGAATAGAAAAACACGTTCTATTTTTATTACCCACAGGTCCTCACTGTTGCTTACAAAAATGCCTGTAGGATTGAAGTGATGGAGGGTGAATTTGATCAAAGTGCATTGTATGCATGGATGGGCATGCAAAAAGAAATTCTCTTATACAACTAATTGATGCTAATTTTTTAAAAATGTGGACAAGAACAAATGTTAAAAGTCCTGGTAAAGCATTTGGTCCATTTTTCAGCTGTGGACACTGAGGCTTGGGTTGGACACAATCTGCCCATGGCTATGGATAGGGACCTGGGGAAGCAGAGCTAGAAGCGGGGTTTCCAGAGCTGGCAGTGCCTCCTGTCTGTTGGCACTGTTGGGAGATAGAGCAGTAGGATATGTAAATTAAATGTAGGTATTTGATTTCCACAAATAAAAGCCTGCCTTTCTACCTGCCCAGCTCCCTCCCTGGCTCCTGCAGTGGCAGAAGGACTTTTATATTTTTATCTCCACTCTTCAATATGTAAAGCAGAGTGCAGCTTTTGGGGTCCTAGGCAGCTTTCGCTAACAAAATCAAATCCACAGGCTTTCTCCAGCAGCCAGAACTGGGGCTTGTAATCTGTGTCTGCTTAAGGGCGCAACTTTCTGGTGAGAGGAGCAGCCTGCAGGCTGTTTTAATTGTGGACAAATCGTGTACCCTGAATACTCCAGGCAGGAACTAGAAAACCCTAGATTTGGGTGTGCAAAACATGGGATTAGTGGCAAAGCAATAAAATTCCTTTTCCCCTTCCTTCTTAGGCCAATGAATGGCAGCCTGAGCCCTCCTCCAGGGACTTCTGAGATAAGCAGAGCCCTCAAGATTCACAGACACACTTTAAAAACAACCACGACTGTTTAGTTCTAAGATACAGCTAAGGGTCCCCAGTCACAAATAATTAACTAAAGTTATATAAGAACAGTGCACAGTCACTGCCTCTGAGCCTTCACCACAGAGAAGATAACTCTACAGATTCCTGGTGACAGGGTGGGTAGATATGAGGGCTGTTTTGGCTGTTTGGAGTCCTGATACAATCAGTCAGGAGCTAGCATTGGTCAGCTCCATCCATGGGAAGAGAGATGTTATCCCACCAAGTACAAGATGAAGAACAGCGGGAAGAAAGTCTAAGAAATATCCTGGTTGTTATCAGTTGTCTCCATTATCACAGAAACAAGGCTCAGGGCATCCCAGGTGTCCCACAATGCCAGGCCTGCAGTACATGCTTAGTACATTCCAACCCCATGAACAACTGCATAGAGATCTTTTACAAATGTTTTCTGCAGTGTTAGTGGCTGTTAGCTGAGAGACAAATGCCAAAGCTCAAAGAAGCCTGGTTAAGAGGGGTTTGTGTGATGTACAGGTGCTGTCCCTTAGCATTTTCCCTCAAGGCTAGCTTTCTACCACTTGAGCCACAGTTCCATTTCTTGCTTGTTACTGGTTTAATTGAATATGAGAGCCTCATAGACTTTTTTTGGGGGGGTGCCTGGGCTGACCTGTGATCCTCAGATCTCAGCCTCTTGAGTATCTAGGATTATAGACCTTGCTTATCTGTGATGTACCAAGATTTCCCCTAATTTATTTGATGGCAGACTCCCCCACCCCCACCCCAGTTCTGGGGGGTAGAGCAAATACTCTACCACTGAGCTACTTCTCAGACCCCAGAACTCTTTTGATCTTTCCTAGGAACGAAATTCTCTGGGAAATATGCATCTCTTGCAAAGGGCTCCCCTCCCAGCTACTCTGCAGGATGCAGAGCCTATGGCACTGAGGATGCAGTGGGGGGGGGGCTCACACGTTTCTGACTCCCACTTAAATCCACAAGATGTACAGGCCTGCTCAGCAGCAAGACGTGTTCAAAGACTCAAGGACTATAATAATTAGGGGTGGCTTTACCTGGGATTCCCTCTTCTGGTCTTATCACTGCCTCTATCTAGCTTCCTAAAATTCAGAGAGCTCAGGAAGTTGAGCTTGAAGCAGGCAGTCCTGTGTCAGAAGCTGAGGAGGGCGAGAAGGCCCTGGCACTTAACTGGGCAACTCTGCTGTGTCTGTGATCCATGCTCAGGTAGTTTTTGGAGAGAAAAGCCCAGTACTGGACAGGAGGGCCACACCTGAGATGTGGCCAGCTCTCCGGGGGGCCTGCTTTACCTGCACGAAGCTGAACTCCCTCCAGTTCAGTGAGTTTGCAATGGATGGCAGCGAGGTGACAGCCAGCAGGGACAGTGTGCCAAGGGCCAGCACTCCCAACGACAGGTAGATCTCCATTCGCCAGACCTCCTCCTCTACCCACAGGTGGCTCTTGTTGGCCAAAACCTAATGCAGATACAAGAAAAGCCATGACCACCATGGCAAATGCCAGTGTCCTGGGAGATGAGGGGGTGAGCCTTAACGGACAGGAGAGAGGCAGCCACAGACTTACACGTACCTCCCAGACATCTGACACATGCTTGCTGTCTTCCAGTCACTGCCCAGCTGTTAACCCATTTTACAGATGAGAGAAATGGGGCACATAGATGAAGTCACTTTCCCCAGGATCTGTGAGGCTCTCATACATCTGCCTGGGGGGACCAGCCAATCAGAAGGGTTTCATCAGTCAAGAGCAAAGGGTCAGAATAATTGAAAGTACAGACCCTCCACTCAGGACTGTATCACAAAGGTTGCTAGTCCCTAAGCTGCAGGAGAGCAGAGAGGCACAGTCCCATCTCTGAAACCCTAAACCATATGGGGCCACACCTTCATGGGCTGCCTCTCCTCCCAGCTTGCCTCACCCTCAACCCCTGTCTTTATGGTCCTTCACCTACCTTCTCTGTCTCTCTTTGTCTATCTGTCTCTCCACACAGATATACACAGATACTGATCTTCCAACGTCCATCTCAAAGCTCCCGAATCTCATTTTCCTACCTGCTCATCCATTTCCATGTGTAGAATATAGTTTGGGCTTGATGGCTACCAGGCAACAGAGACTGATGTCCTTTCTCCAGGACATTGAGGGACACCTACTGTGTGCTGAACCCTGAGCAGCGAAGCACAGTACCTGTTCTCAGTTGCCCTGGGGTACCTACTAACTCCAGGGACCCTCTGCAAGCCTTAAGATCACCCCACCTCCTCCTACCTAGACTGAGTCTGCAGCTGAACCCCTCTTTGTCAGCCTCTGCTCACACCCACTGGAGGCATACAAGCATATTGAAGTCTTTCCATTTCCTAACTCACCAGGAAGCTGGGTTCCTGGAAGTCACGGTGTTCTGAGAAGCCCCCTGAAACACTAGTGCATTAATTCTACCAGAGAACAAGCGAAGATTCTTTCATGAGAAGATGGGCCTGTGTGTGAGCCAGCTGCCTCTCAAAACAGAATGACTCATACAGGTTTTTTGAGACACTACTTCAGCAGAAAATGAAATATAAGCCCGGTTACCAGAAAAAAATTATTTAAAAATGACTCCGGGGGCTGAGCAAAAGTGGCTGAATACCTCATGAGAGAAAATTTAAAGAAACCCAGAAAATGCCACTCACTAGGCCCTCTGCCTGTGGTGTGGGGAAAAGGGTGGATCTTTGTAGTATTTGAGGGCAGGTAGGTTCCTTCCTACTCGTGTCTGGAAGGGTCAGGAGTCTGGTGACCCTGTTTATCCTGACCACTACTATGGAAGATTATGGGAAACTGGTTTCAGGCCTCAGTTTCTCTGCCTGAGACATCTGCAAGAGGTTACACCTAAAACTCTGGGCTTGTTTGTGGGCCTGGCTGACTCACTTGTGGTACTGTCAGTCTATCATGTCTCCTGTTTGTCTGCAACCCCACTTTATTATTCACTCGCTCCATTTTTGCTCAGAGCAGGCAGTTGAAGTTACTAGTCAGGCCCTGCAAATCTGCACACAAGGACCACGGGGGCTTGCAACATTCCTCATTTGTTCCTCAATGGGACTGGAAAGAGAAAGGGGTGAGAGGAAGTAGTGATGGTGGAGAAGTTGTCCAGGGATCTGCATTGTGGCTACTTTGAACATTCTGTGCCACTCTGTGCTACCTCACAGTCCACAAGTGCTAGCCAGTGCTGCCCATGGCCAGTTGCTCTCCAACCTTGGGGAACACCCCCACTCATATAGCTGACCAAAGGGTGGTGGACACAGGATATTTAGTACTTCAGTCATCTGAGACTGCCCAGCGAGGGCTGCGAGCCAGGGATGGATGTGGGACTACCTCTCCCTTCAGGTGTTGGATTTGATACGACAGGACTCAGGGGTAGGAGGACATGGAGATGACAGTGTTACTCCTCTTCAAGTCTCTTTAGTGGGTCTTTCATCTGTCGAGGCAGAGCATAGTGCCTACTATCTCTCAAACCCAAGTGGCCAATTTCACAGACACTCAGTGAACCTGCACTAGGGTAAAGAAGGACAGAACTATGGGCTGGGAAGGTGGCTCAGTGGTAGAGTGCTTGCCTTGCATGCATGAGGCCCTGGGTTTGATTCCCCAGCACCACATAAGCAAAAAAAGGACAGAACTCACGGTGTTGAAAAAGGTTGTGTGTAAGAAAATGAGGGACGTCTATATAAAATACAGCAGATGGCAGGTGTGAACGGAGAAGTAGGGGGACAGTTAGGGTTTTACGGGAGGGCTAGGAATTTGCTGGACTGCCGAGGTGTTCCCAGATGGGTTTTCCAAGCCAGGAGGAATGTGCAGAGGACAATGTGGTATGACATGGCATGAGAGAATAGGGTGAGGAGGTAGGGGAGGGAGTGTGGCTGCACAGTGAGGAGCTGATCATTATCCCAAGGTCAGAGGGGTCACTGGATGCTTCTCAGCAGTGCTGTGATGTGGTTAGAGGAGGTTTGGAATGATCTGAGAGTCACATGCAGATTAGCTTTGGGAAGAGGGGTTTAGAGGGAAAAGTGTGCACAGCCCATTGTCTTTCATCTTGATTTCTGATTTTGATCTGGAAATGCATCTCTGGGGAGCTGCACCAGCAAATTAGAAAAAAAAACTATATAAAATTAGTTATTGTTAATAACACTGCCAACAAACACAGTCTCAAAATCTTCTCTATCCTGGGACGCAGCCTTGCTGCCTGATCTGTATTTAGGGGCTTAAAGGGAATCTTGGGGACATTTCCTATACCCAAGCTAAGACCCTCCCTTTACCCATGGCTTTACCAAGGATCTGCCTCAGAGAGGCACTGTGGGAAGGCAGCCAAGGGTGGGCAGGGGCAGACACCCAGCAGGCAGGAGCCATGGAGAAAGCCCTGCTATCAGGGACTAGAGGCAGGCACCCAGGCTTAGGATCCAAGCCTTGGGCTGATGTGTTCTACCTGCTAAACTCTTCCAGTGTTGTACAGTTCACCACTTCCTGGTGGCTATGTGTCAAGTCCCAGCCTCCCTCTACTACAACCCCAGACATCCAGACGTATCCCATCTACCTGGTTCCACCCTTGAGAACTCTGCAGAACAGTTAAGCCCTTCTAGTCACTGGCCTTCTGGATCTCTGATAGTGAGCCTCTTGTAAAAGATGGTTGCCTGGCAACTTCCATCCCTTAGAGGGCTTTGAGATTCAGGGAAAATTGCCTTGTTTGTACCTTCTGGGCCTTGGTATTGGCATCAAGGCAAAATTGGGTTAATGTCATACTGAGACGGCTTTGAGTTGGGCAGGGACCTTAGGGAAAGGAAGTTGGCCAACTGACAGGTATCCAAATTTGGGCAAAGCAGTGGTTTGCCCTGTGCCCTGGGGGACAGTGGAGGTCACACTCAGATCTGCCTTGTCCAGTTGGCAATGATGACATGCCCCCCCCCCCTTACCAAGAGCCACAAAGAGATTCTTGCTGGCTAGGCTGGCTCTTTTTAAAGATGGATAAAAAATATTAAAAATGTTAGTGCTGCATACTAGTGGCTCACACCTATCATCTTAGCTACTCAGGAGGCTGAGATCTGAAGATCATGGTTTGAAGCCAGCCTGGACAGAAAAAGCCCCATGAGACTCTTGTTTTCAATTAACCACTCAAAACTGGAAGTGGGGCTATGGCTTAAAGTGGTAGGTCATTATTTGTGAGCAAAAGAGCTTAGGAGTACCCAGGCTCTCAGTTCAAGCCCCACAACCAGAATAAAACCTGTCAGAGCAGGTGCTCATTGAATGAGTAAGTGAATGAATGGATGGATAGATGGATGGATGGATGAAGAGTCTGAGATTGTCTACCCAGCTGCTAACTTGGCTCTGTTTTCCTATAGAAAGCAGGATGGATATGAGCATGGATCTGGAATGGAATGGCTGGTTCTGAGTCCTACCTCTACTGTTGATTGGCTTTGTGACTTCAGTTAAGTTTCTTAACCTTTCTCTGCTTCAATTTTCTCATCTATATATTAAGGGTAGTACAGCTCTTGCCTTATAGGTACAAGATAGAGAATAAATGAACTTATAGAGGGAATGTAAAACTCTTAGAATGGTAGTCAGAACAGCAAGCTTTCTTTCTTTCTTGCTTGCTTGCTTGCTTACTTGCTTGCTTTTTTTTGGTCAGTCATGGGGCTTGAACTCTGGGCCTTGGCGCTGTCCCTAAGACCTTCAGCTCAAGGTGAGTGCTCTACCACTTGAGCCACAGTGCCACTTCCAGTTTTCTGGTGGTTTATTGGAGATAAGTCTCACAGACTTTCCTGCCCAGGCTGGCTTTGAACCGCGATCCTCAGATCTCAGCTTCCTGAGTAGCTAGGATTACAGACATGAGCCACCTGGCTCAGTAAGCTTTCTTTCTTTCTTTTTTTTTTGGGGGTCCAGTCGTGGGGCCTGAACTCTGGGCCTGGGCGCTGTCCCTCAGCTCTTCAGCTCAAGGCTAGCGCTCTACCACTTGAGCCACAGCACCACTTCCGGCTTTTTTCTTTTTGCTTATGTGGTGCTGAGGAATCGAACCCAGGGCCTCATGCATGCAAGGCAAGTGCTCTACCACTGAGCCACCTTCCCAGCCCCTCAGTAAGCTTTCTTATGAGCTTTGTGACTATTATTTTTTTCCCTTTACTTTCTGCAAGCATCTTGCTTCTCTGCCTGAAGCCGGAGGTTCTTGCTTTCTCAGAAAGTCTGGGCCACTAGGGATGGTATCAGGTGTCCGTGGGTGGGACATAAGGGCTTTTGAGAAGCTGCCAGTGCGGAAGCAGGAGCATCAAGAGTGAGTGGAGGCTGAGGTGTGTGGTTCCTAGGCAGTAGCTGACCTTGCTTCCTCCTCTGAGGAGGGAGGAGTGGCTCCATGCTGGACTTCTTGGTGGTGGGCCTGGCCTCATCAGGGTCCCTACATCATGAACAGGATAAGTAGCTGCAGGGCCTCATCTGGGACAAAGGGGGATGACACATATCTTACCCAACCCTGCTGGGCAAGTAGTGCTGTGGTGTAGACAGGATCCACAGTCAATCAACCTAGGGCTAAAGGTGTAACTTGGTAGGAAGGAGCAAAGTGAGGAAAGAAAGATAGGTACAACATTGCTTTCAGTGCTGCTGAGACTAAGAATGAATCCTCAACTGTGAGCTAAAAACCAGGAGGCTTGGGCTGGGAAGGTGGCTCAGTGGTAGAATGCTTGCCTTGCATGTAGAAGGCCCTGGGTTCGATTCCTCAGCACCACATAGCAGATAAAGCCAGAAGTGGTGCTGTGGCTCAAGTGGTAGAGCGCTAGCCTTAAGCTGAAGAGCTGAGGGACAGCGCCCAGACCCAGAGTTCAGGCCCCACCATGGATAAAATACCCCCCAAAACAAACAAACAAAAAATTCCAGGAGGCTTGTGAGGTCTGTTCTGTATATACCACCTCCTGCTCCTGCCTGGCTTGGCCTAAAAGCCTCCATTCCCTATGAGTCACAGGTAGAAGAGCATCATATCTATTCTAAATGAATAGTAATAATCCCCCCCACCTCCAAACAAAACCACTCACTCCTGTAGCCTTCCCTGTGTTGACTGTTGGCATAGCTACTTTTGGGGTGCTCAGACTCAACCCCCAGAGCCACCCTTGACTAGCTTCATCTCTATCAGTGAACCTCACCTTCATTACTTCAGTAGCTCTACATTCTCTTGCTTCAAACTATGCCTTCAATACTTTATGTCCTCCGCAGTTCCCATCCCACTCCCTGATTCCACTGCACTGAGTGTGGCGTCAGCACAGCAGTGTCTGCCTTTGGCCCTTTGGCTGTTCTGGGCCAGGCAGCAAGAGCAAGCCAGTGATCAGGCAGGCCCTTAGTCCCCCCCATCAGAATCCTTCAGTGACTGCCTGAGTCCCTCAGGGCCTAAAGCCAAAGCCCTCCTCCCTTAGCCTTTAAGGTCTCAACTTCTACTTGCTCCTGATCTTCAGCCCCACAGGCCTCTTAGCTGTCCTTCAAATGTGCCAGGCCTGCTTCTATTTGAGGGCTCTGCTCTTGTGGCCTTGTCAGCCTGTGGCACCTCTAGTTGGCCACCAATGAGGCTCTCACCTGCTTTATATCTCTGCTCACACAGCATCATTCATTAGGCCTCCCTTATTCCTTTAAAACCCCACCCTGGGCTGAGCATGCAGCCCATGACTGTAGCTCACGACTGTAGCCCCAGATACTCAGGAACTAGTGGTTGGGGGCTTTAGCTTGAGGCCAAGGAAAAGGTGGGAGACCATATCTGAAAAATAAGCTAAAAGCAAAAGGACTGGGGTATGGCTCACATGTTAGAGTACTTGCCTAGCAAGGCCTTGATGGTTAATAATCCCAGTATTGCAAAACTAACCAACAGAAAACAAAACTGCATCCTGCCCTCCTGATTTTTGTTGGTTTATTGATTTTTGTACTCACGGCCCTGGGACTGTCCCTTAGCATTTTTTTCTCAAGGCTGATGCTCTCCTACTTGAGACATATCTCCACTTCCAGCTTTTTGGTAGTTCATTGGAGATAAGAGTCTCATAGACTTGCCCACTGGGGCTAGGAGCCCCACTCCTCAGATCTTAGCTAGAATTTCAGGTGTGAGCCGCAGGGGCCTGGCTGCTCCCTGCTCTTTGATCCTGGGTACCTGTGGCCCTCTGTCTGCTTTTCTTTTCTTTTTGTTTTTCTGGTTCAAGTCTGGACCTAGGCAGCTGGGGGATTTTCATCTGCTCTGCTTGCTGCCAGGAAGATGTGGGCACTGTCCAGCTGGAACAGCGCCAGCCTGCCCTTGGCTACTGTCTGTCCTGTGCACCTGGTGGGGGCCACAGCACGAACTGAGTACCTGCTTGACGGCCATATTGATCAGTTCGTAGCGGTGGGAGCGGCGCAGTGGCAGGCAGAAGCTGTAGAGTGCGTGCAGCGCAGCACAGAAGAAGCTGAGCAGCCCGATCTGCTTGCGGTGCTGTAGCCAGTGGTCCAGCCAGTCAGGGAAACGGCGGTACTTGGTGCCCCACTGCAGCTGCAGGGTGGCTGCCAGCACGCCAGGCAGGTACACCAGTGACAGCAGCACATAGGCCACACAGGGCAGTGTGGTGTTGACCACGGACACGGGCAACTTGTAGAACTTGTTCTTGCCTTCCTGCACATAGGGCTGCAGCACATCCCGGATGAAGTTGTAGGCGTAGAAACAGACAAAGAGCCCCAGTGCCAGGAGGGTGGGCACCTTCCAGCCTGGGAGGAGGCGCAGGGGCATGGCCTCCACCTCCCGGGCTGAGGTCAGGGAGCCCATGTCCACTGGCATAAAGCCCATGGCACGCACCATCTCTGATACTACATGCTTGGCTTCTTGTTGGTCACTGCAGATGGGTACCTATGGGGAGAAGGAGTGGACAATCAGATGGATACACGGGCCACAGGGGCAGGCAGGGCCTCAGCAACCACCAAGCTAAAGAGCCACAGAGAAGCTAAAGAAACTGAGGTACATAAGGGGACTTGTCCAAGGAGCTAGCAGTTAAAAGTACACGGGGGGGCAATAAAGTGGCTACAAGTCCCAGGCAAGGGGTCTGTCCAGTTTTCTCTGGGCTTCCAAGACAAGCCCCACCACTCAAGGAGAGATGCTAGTCACAGTGAATGTCTTGCATAGCGCACTCACTTAACAGACACAAGAGAGTGCCTGGCCATGTAGCCTCCTTGGGTCCTAGAACAGCTACCTCCCAAGATGGGGCTTACCCTAGGAGAGGGTGCATCTCTCTGCACAGAAGTGTCCTTATTAGTGATGGCCCTCAGTTCCATGAGGACTTCGGCACACTAGCTTTCTTCAAGCCAACCCATGTCTGCTCCTCCAGAGCAAACTCTGAGGGCATGATGATATCTGGAGGTCATGAAGATCTCACCAATTTTGCTGGCACAGCTGGGATCCAGTCCAGCTCCTCAACGTTCACTACGAACCTAGTCTGTGCCAGGTTTTACATACACGATTCCTCAGCTGCCTTAAGCCCTCAGGTGGGGACTCCTGTCCCCATTTCCCAGATAAAGAAACTAGGGTCTGGGAGTCTTACCTTACTGCCCTTGCACTGTTGTGCCCACAGCCTTGAATACCTTCCTTGTTCCTTGATCTAAGAACATAAAGTAGCCAAGCAGCGGTGGCTCACGCATGTAATCTTAGCTACTCAGGAGGCTGAGATCTGAGGATCACAGTCCAAAGCCAGCCTGGGCAGGAAAGTCCATGAGATTCTTTTTTTTTTTGTCGGTCATGGGGCTTGAACTCTGGGCCTGGGCGCTGTCCCTCAGCTCTTCAGTTCAAGGCGAGCGCTCTACCTCTTGAGCTACAGAGCCACTTCTGGTTTTCTAGTGGTTTTTATTGGAGATAGGAGTCTCATGGTCTTTCCTGCCAGGGCTGGCTTTGAACCGCGATCCTCAGATCTCAACCTCCTGAGTAGCTAGGATTACAGGTGTGAACCACTGGTGCCCGGCCCCATGAGATTCTTATCTCCAATTAACCACCAGAAAACTGGAAGTGGTGCTGTGGCTCAAATGGTAGAGTGCTCACGTTGAGCTGAAGAGCTCAGGGATAGCGCCCAGGCCCAGAGTTCAAGCCCCCTGACCGACAAAAACAAACAAACAAACAGAACATAAGGTAAACCCAAGCCCAAACTCATCTTAAGGCCTTCTCCAGCCAGCCAGCTTGCGCCACTCCCTGCAGGCCTGCACCTTATACCTACACCTCTGCACTCTTCCTCACAGTTGGTACTTGGCTGGACTGGTTGGTAGACATTCTTCCATACGTGTGGAATTATGTATTTTTGCCCCAGGGAAGAGGCAGGTGGATTTTTAGCATTAAAAACCACCTTGTCCTAGTTAGACCTCTTTCTTTTTTTCTTTTTTTGCCAGTCCTGGGGCTTGAACTCAGGGCCTGGGTGCTGTCCCAAGCTTCTTTTGCTTAAGGCTAGACCTGAGCCAGCCTTTTCTGTTTATGTGATACTGAGGAATCAAACACAGGACTTCATGCATGCTAGGTAAGCACTCTACCACTAAGCTTCCTTCCCAGCCCATCTCACATGTTTCTTGATACATATGCAGGTCTGGCTGTTCTATAGAGCCATTTTCCAGCCTCTGTTGACCATTCTGAGAAAATTACTAGGTTCTTAGAAGCCCTTGTCATAAATGTGATGAGGTCTGGGACATGCCTGTCTCCCTCCGGACCTGGCACAGAAGTGTATTACTGTCCTCTTTCTGAGTCTGATTTTATAAGCCACGTCTCCTTCTTGACTTGAAACAGCAAAAAGGCCAGACACTGGTGGCTCACGATTGTAAACCTAGCTACTCAGGAGGCTGAGATTTGAGGATCACCATTCTACATCAGCTTAGGCAGGAAGTCTATGAGGCAGTCTTATCTCTAGTTAAGTATCCAAAAAAGCTGTAAGTGGAGTTGTGGCTCAAGTGGGATAACACTAGTGTGGAACAAAAATGTTCAGGGACAGTACCAAGTTCAAGCCCTAGGACCAATACAAAAAACCAAACTACAGTATAGAGCTATTACCTTCTAGGAAGCCTGGGTATCAAGGCAGAAAGAACATGGATTTCTAATTCATAGGATTAAGGTTCAAATCCCGGCTTACCAACTGAGGGCCTGTAAGATCACTAACATTCCTAGGCGTCTCCTGCCATGCAAAATAGATTTTTTTTCCAGCTATGAGATTAGCTCAGACTATATAGAAAAAGTTGGCATGCTGCTAGCTTATGAGAAAAATGAGCCACATATTTATTATAAAGAGAACTGTTATGAACTTCTTATGAACCTACCTGCCTGTTTCCATCCCTCGGGCCAGCCTGTAGGGTCCAAGCAGAGATGACATTGAAGGCTTTGACCACTGTGCAGGTGGGGAAGAGCGAGGCCAGGAACTCAGCATTAGACTCGCGGTGCCGAAGGTGCTCCTGCTCTGTGGGATTGCTCACATCCACCAGGATCTTGCCGGCTAGCAGGTCACTGAGACTGCACAGCGTGGAGTAGTGCTCCCGGAACACTGCCACGAAGATGACTTCTGGGGAGCTCACTGCCTCCTCCTGGAAAGTTACCTGCACAGAGGCAGGGAAGAGCCCAGCCGTGCGTTTGGGGTTGCGGCTTCCCACCACTACACTGAAGCCGGAGCCCACCAGACGTGTGGCCAGGGAGCGGGCAAAATCCCCACTGCCCAGGATGCCCACTTTGGGGGCCCCACTGGGGGCCTCCGCAAGGCTTCCATCACTGTCTATCAGGCAGCGACTAATCAGGGGCTTATCCATCTCCCCTGACATTTTGGTGGCTGCAAGAGAAGACAGAAGACTGGTTATTGGAGGACTCCCAGATTCTCTGCTTGCTACCTCCTCCTCTTGTTCAATGTGCATGGCCAGACCTCAGCCCTGCAGGTGTTCTCTGAGTGCTCCCCATCCCATGGAGGACGGAGACTCAACAAGGGGTGGGGGAAGGACTGTTGCCATCACAAGTCCTGCCTTGGGACCAGTAGGCTTGAGTGCTGGGAAAGGGGGTGGGATTTCTGTCATGATTCTTTTCAGAAGAGTTATGCAATGTGGAATGACCATGCAACCCAGCTTGTAGGGTATTGTCTGTGATTACTGGCAGGCAGAGCCAACATGCATCTGTGTTGCTTCTTGCTCTGCACAGTGGAGCAGGTGGTCCCCCTTGTGTTCTTCCTTAAGTAGGTGATGGGAAGCCAGAGGGCAGGGCCTCTGGCTGGGCCTAGATCCTGTATGTATGTATGTATGTATGTATGTACGTATGCCCAAAGTGGGCGTGAACTCTGGACCTACATGCTGTCCTTGAGCTCTTTTGCTCAAGGCTAGCACTCTACCACTTCTGCCACATGTCCACTTCTGGCTTTTTTGCTCATTAGAGATAAGAATCTCATGAACTTTCCTGCATGAGCTGGCTTCAAACCCCAGTCCCCAGATCTCAGCCTCCTGAGTGGCTAGGATTATAGGCATGAGCCACTGGTGCCCTGCTTGACCTGTTTCTTCATCTTGGGGTCTGTTGCTGGTGTGGAGTTCAACATCTACCAAATGGATGAATGCGCATTGTAACTGACAGTTCTGGGGGATGGTGATGGGACTTCAAGGCGTTTTGGGTGCCTTGGGATCTCCTTCAGCAAACCCATGATATCAGGGGACATGAAGGACACCATGGATTTGGGCCAGGGGTCTGCAGTAAACCCAGATGGTTAAATTCTATTTTAATTGTCACCATCTGATGCTGGTGATTTTATTCAGGCACAATGGTGAGCACAAATCATGGTAGTGTTGGTGAGTCCTGTGAACTTGTGACCGCACTGACCAAAGTCAGGTAAGGGATTCCATCCTAAAAGCATTCACCCAATAGTATTTAAACTTCTCTAACTGAAAGCTATGGTAGATACCAGACCTGTCACTAGATCATGCTATTCAGCATAGTACTAAGAAGCATACACAGTGTTAAAACACTTTTAAGGAAAATAAACAGTATCTGTGTTGCATGTTGGTTCCTTTGTGAGCCTAGAGTGTTTTATGTGTGGAAGAGCATCATCACTGTGAGCACAAAGCACACAGGCTTGGCACAGGATGGTCAAAAGGCTGTCTCTGAAACTAGCTGGGTAGCAGGAGTGACTTGTCACTACTGTGTGATCCTTCCCCCCACATTTCCATGTCAGCACTGGACAGGTGTGTGGCGGTTGGGGAAGATGGGCTATAACACAGGGTAGGGCCGGGGACTGAGAAATGAAGCCTCAGCTCTAGCATATATCAGTTGTGTGTCCTTGAACAGGTCCCTACGCTTCTCTAGGCTCCAGCTTCCACCTTTGCCAGTAGACATCCCCATGACAAAGAATATGATCTTAGTGCTGGGAAGGTGGCTCAGTGGTAGAGCGCTTGCCTTACATGCCTGAGGCCCTGAGTTCAATTCCTCAGCATCACATAAGCAAAACAAAAAAAGCCGGAAGTGGTGCTGTGGCTCAAGTGGTAGAGCGCTAGCCTTGAGCTGAAGAGCTGAGGGACAGCACCTAGGCCCAGAGATCAGGCCCCACAACTGGACCCCCCCCCCAAAAAAAGAATATGATCTTAAATGGTTGAAAAACTGTGACATGGAGTTTTTTTTTTTTTTTTTTTTTACAAGGGAGCAACGAATCCTGTTTATAGGATACAGACCAAGTATTGCTGTAAAGGCCTTTCTTGAGTCCTGGAGTAATAGCCCTCTTGGGAGTCCATGAACTGGGTACCATGTTAGCTTGCTTTCTCACTCTTTCTCTCTCTCTCCCTTCCTTCCTTTTTTTAAAAGAGTGGGTTGCAGCTGGGTGCTGGTGGTTCGTGCCTGTAATTCTAGCTACTCAGGTGGCTAAGATCTGAGGATCATGGTTCAAAGCCAGCTCAGGCAGGAAAGTCTATGAGACTCTTATCTCCAACAAACCACTCAGAAAACTGGAAGTGGTGCTGTGGCTCAAGTGGTAAGGCGCTAGCCTTGAGCTGAAGAGCTGAGGGACAGTGCCCAGGCCCAGAGTTCAAGCCCCACGACCGACAAAAAAAATGGGTTACAGACTGCCCTTGAACTTCTGGGCTCAAGTGATTTACCTGATCTACCCCCATGTAGCTGGGACTACAGATCATACTACCCTGCCTGGCTGAGTACCACTCTTGAGTGTCAGGGTGGTTGAGGACCGTGCTCCAGGTGGGACAGAGGCAAGTAGAGGAAGGAGACTCCAGCCTATGTTCTCCCCAGAGAGCAGGGAGCTATACACTGATGCCTTGAAGAGATGCAGAACAGGTACCACACAGCTGAGATATGAAGTCAGTATGGAAGGGACTGCTCTAACCATCCGTTCCTGTCTTTCCTCTCCCATCTTTCAAGTTGTGATTTAAAATGTCACAGTGTCTCTCTCACAGGGCAGCAGAGATGGTCTGCTGTCAATCACTGTGATAATTCTGCAGGCCCACGTTTCCCAAGTCCCCAGATGGAAGTCACACCTGCGCAGACCTTCAGGCCCAGCCATGCCTCCAACCCTGCTCTTCCTGGACTTGACCTCCCTGAAAGACAGGAGCAAGTGTTTCCTGTCTGGTTCATTTGGGGTGAGAAGTGATCAAGTATACTTTGAAAAGAGGCTTCTTGACTCACCCCACAATTCCCACATAGGGAGGGCTGGGCTAGGGGCATTCCTTAGGGATCCAGGCTGCCTTGATTCTGACTTGTGTTGAGTGACCTGTGACCTGTCTGTGCCTCAGTTTCCTCAGTTATAAAATGGATAAATAGTTTCAGTAAGCAGACTTTGAAACCATGCTAGGCATATCATAAACCCTGGGTAGGCAGGGTGCTGCTACTAGGTGGGAGGGAACCATGCTCTGCACCAGCAGCAGGTCAGGGTGGAGAAGGAGTGGGGGGCCCTCCCTGTGTTCCTCTGTCCTAGCAGCAGGGATGAGAGCTGGGCTAGAGGGACACTTGATGCCCAGACACTTGATACTGGAAAGGCAGGGAGACACACATCACCCTGCTTTGATGGGGAGGAAGTGAACCACTAGGAGCTTCCTGACAGGCCTGATCACATTTGCCAGTAGATGGATGGTACTAACTGGGTTCTCTCAGGGACCAACGTCTGGTATCTGTCTTGGTCCCTAAGTAACTGTTGAATGCTCTAGGAGTATCAGTATGGGTAGGTAGATTCTGCATTAGTGACTAATTCTTTAAAAATTTTGTGAGGTGGTGGGAGGGGCTGGATAATATCTGTCCACAGAGGACAGACACGGGACAGGTGGGCAGGGCTTGGGGCTCATTTCCAGGTGGGGCTGAAGCCAGCTCCCAAAGCAAAGCCAGATCATGGTACAGGATAGATGCAACACTGGATGATCTTGAAGAAACATGTGCTCAAAACAGCATGGAGCCAAACCAGGGTGAGAAAAGGTGGTCAGACTCGGACTTGGAGTGTTGAACCCATACTTAGCATCCTGGGAAGGATTGTGGCACTTGGGGTCCTGCTTGCAATAGAAGAAAGCCTCAGGGAGGGGGTGATTCCATTTCTGTTCTTGACTAGTATCACCCAGCCTCTCAGGGTAGTTTCCCTTCCCCTCCCCTTCCCTTCTATGAGTATGTGTAACTGCTCTAAGTAAGTTCTCCCTGGGCAGTGGCCATACATCCTAAGGCCTGCTGCTGGTCTGAAGACCAGTAAGGTTGGGGGCAGGGAAACTGATACAAGTCGTGGAGGTCTGAGAGTCCCTGCAAAGCCCTGGATGTCTGAGCATGTGACCTGAAGGTGAGGATGTTACAAGGCCTGTCTGGGCCCCTGGCCAGGCCTGGCTCCCACTGGGGTTCTATTTATAGATTGGGAGCATGGTGGGGGAGATCACCTTGCAGCCGGTGGGCCAGATTCATAGCCTGCACACAGACCAGCTGCTTGCCTGAGGCTTGGGTGTCCCTGCTTTCACTTCCTGCCTTCACGGGCTGTGATTATGGCCAGGAGCCACACCTGGCCCATGGACAGCATGCCAGCTCCAGCCTGTTCTCAGGCAGGCCCTAAGGATGACAACCAACAGCTGCCAGCCTTTTCTTCATGGGCAACAGCAGCACGTTGGGCATGGGGCAGCCAGAACAGGTTACCGTTTATCCTTGGAGTGAAAAGGTTCTTCCCAAACATACTGCACACTTTAAGCCCCAAACTGCTCAGGCTTCCCTCAGTTGTTACTTTTTCCTATTTCTGGGGATCAAACTTAGTAATCTGCCCCTGCCAGAAAGTGAAAGCAGGGACACCCAAGCCTCAGGCAAGCAGCTGCTCTATGTGCAGGTGGGCCTCATACAGTGATCCTCTCTACCTCTACCTCCTGAGCACCTGGAATAACAGGCATGAGCCACTAGTGCCCTGCTCCAATAAGGTTTTTATGGGAGATTTTTGTATGTCATAAGTATTTTCTCCCTTTGTTAGACTACTGCTTTCTTCCACAAGACCTATCCCCAGGGCCTGCTAATTTGCTAATTTGTTCAAGTGCACACCATCTGGAGAGTTACAAGACAACCCACAGAATGGAAACAAATGGCAAGTGACATATTTGATGAGGGACTTGTTTCTAAATACATAAAGAAGTCATAATTCTTAAAACTTACCACACATTGCTGTAGAAATGTTAAATGGTGTCACTACTGTAGTAAAGGGTCTCAGAAAAACACAGATTTTTGTTTGTGTCTTCTGCAAGGGTTGGTGATATTGGAGCTTGAATTCAGATCCCTGGATCTGCTTCACCACTGAGCCACACCTCTAGCCCTTTGCTTTGTTAGTTGTTTTTCACTTTTTTTTGGTGT